GAAGACAAACCCAGAAAATTGGTGCATCTCAACACCAGCCCAAAGCCTGAATCCACCTGGATTCCCAGAGTCTCTGCCCGTTAGTTCTTCAGGAGTTTTTGTGCTCCTGCGTTGGGGGGAAACTAACTAGAACCAGAGACTGAAACTAATGGGTGGGCTGTTTGGAAAATCGCCATCAAAATGCCCTTTCCACAGAAAAGGGGGAGACTTCCCCCCTAAATCTTCCATCTCTCTCTACCTTAGAAGTCTACCCCTGCCTCATCTGAGTGAAATGCAATGAGAAGCCAGGATGAGTGTTGACCCCACTTGGAGTAAATATGGCTGGAGGAGGTGGCAGTAACACTAGGAAGGAATTTATAGAAAATAACTAAGTCCTGTACCTGATTCTTTGCCCAGCCAATATTATGCAGCGCTTCTTCTGGGAATGCCTGGGTGTGGCCCTTTGCAGTGAGTTACTGCCTCCGTGGTTGGAATAGCTCCGACTTGATTGCTATTTACATGGTGCTCTAGATGCATAGGGATATCTGGCACCTGCCCAGAGGGGCTTGCAATTAGCCGGGGAGAGCACTTTGTACAAGCAGTATCCGTTTGGGCAGAAGGGCTATCTGTTAATGGCAGAAATGCAGGCCTGTCATTCAAGCCTGCCCAAGGGGGTCCCAGATGGCCTGTCCAGGCAGATTGCTCTTGCGGGATGACCACCGTTTTGCCCCAAGGAGAGACAGGGCCACGGTATGCTGTTGGCTGGGCCCCAGAATGCCTTCACCCGACCCTGTTGCCGAGACTGCTGTGTAGCAGTTAATTGGGGTTTGCAAATGGGTCTAAGCTGAGACCTGCTGAGCCGGACGCCAAGATTTGAAGGCAGAGCTAACGTGTTTTTCAATGGTTGCTAGAAATCATTACGCTTCCGCCACGGGCACACCCTCGTTCATTCACTCTTCTAGGCATGGGCTTCCTTCCCCAACTCCGCTTGAAGATGATCGGCATTTAAATTAGATACTTATATCTCTGGCTGTAACCCCCCTTCCCTTGACCTATGCCCCCACTGGGTGTCACCTAGGCTGCAGCTAAGCGGTAGGCCATTGTGACCAGCTGTGAATGGGCAGGCTGCCGGGGCAGCTGGTTGCTGCGTCGTGCACAGGAAATGTTATCTGTGAAAAGCTGGAGCAGTGCCCGTTCGGGAGGCTTTACTCTGGCTGTGTAAAACTCAGAGCTGGCTCCAAGTCTGTTCCATGAGGAGAGACTCGTGTGCCCAGATGAATTCAAGGCCCATGCTCCTCCCAGCTCTTTGCCTTCTCTGCACTGAGCAGTCGAATTGCAATCCCCCAAGGAAGGGCTTTCAGGTTCCAAAATAACAAATGGAATAATCTTCCCCAAGGCCTTGGCTCGGTGGGGACTTTTTTCTTCTCCTTCTCACCTTTAAATGAAAAGCTGGGAGAGAATTTCCTTTTGCATTATTGCTGGGGTGAGGCTCTGTCTGCACCAGCATCTCCCTTCAAATCTCCTGCCATTCATCTTCCCCAGGACAGCCAAGTCCCATCCCCCCGGTTCTGTGGTGACTACTCATATCCTACCGCAGGGTTAGCTTGGGTGAGCCACCCCCAGATGGCCTGGCTTAGCCACACTGCAAAGCCCTGCCCAAGTTGCCGTGTCTTCACTGTGTGTCCTTACGACTTTTGGGGTGTCCAGTCGTTTTCTGTGCTGCACGGAGCTGATCCATTCACAGCAACTTGTGGGCGACTTTGTCTGTCCTAAGCAAACGGGAAATTGTGGGAAGGCGTACTTGAATGGCTTAATCTGTATCCACTCTGCAAAGTAGGCGGGTTACCGGTACAGGTTTTAGCCCCAGACGATCCAGCTCGCCCGGGTCGGAAGAAGCACTGAACTCGGGCCCAGAGCGTTTTGTGTGTGGATGGAAGAGGGTAGCACCTGAGTAAGCCTGTTAATTGTGCAGTGAAATCAGACATAGGCTTTGTCTAGAGTTATTCAGAGCAGGATCAGCTGTCCCGTGCTCCCACTGATGGAGCTGTCCATGCTGTTCTGGCACGGTGAGCGTGAGGCAGGCTAGTATCGAAGCAGCCTCGGTTACCTTTTCCCGCTGCCTGCCTCATCCTGCTGGAACTAGAACTGGGCGCGTTAATCGCTATGTACTAATAATTCAACAGAAGGTCAGCCAGCAAACTGGCGCCCTAGGGAGAGGGGCGGTCCTGTGAGCTGTGGCACCTGGCAGATTGGTCTTCCTCCATCCTCTCCCTCCGTCCCCCCCCCCTCAGCGAATGGTGCATGCAATGGGTGAGGCGAGACACCTCTGGTGTGCCTTTCACCTCCTGTATGGAGCTATTGTCCAAGTGCCCGTACCGTGTGTTCATCCCAGGGGCAGCTCAGCATGGCAAACACAAAGGCTTTTGTGCTCTTCAGTCAGGCCCCATCACCTATGTGGCTCTAAATGGATACACATGGGGTACCACCATGAAAAAACAACAGTAGAGAAAAATACTTTAAAATTGATTCTTCCTCCATTATCATGGCCTGTGAGCCACCCAAGCCAGTTGCTCCTTGTGTCTCTCTCCTAGGCGGTCAAAATACCAGATGATGCAGGGGACGAGAGTGGCTAATTGCTAAGGGACAGTGGAGTGCCTTAGAGCCCGCATCCATCTGTCGTTGGCTCTGGTGGGGTTTCTTGGGGCTTAAAGAACTGGAGGGCAAGTGTGGGAGTTTTTGAATTTGGATTTAGACTTTTCCCCTGCTGTATTTACAGTTCAGTTTCAGAGCTAGGACCTGAAAAAATCAGAAAACAAATGTGACTAATCTCATTTCACTGTCCCAGCAGAGTGAAAAAAGAAACGCTCGAATTGGGGTAAAATCAGATATTTCCAACACAAATAAAATCGCTTGTTTTACAGAGAGCACTTTAGCTTTCATTTCACCGAAGGGAGGAAACTTGCCCATAAATAGGATTAGATTCCTTTTAAACATGGGAACCTGACTGATAAATAAAGGACTGACATCTGAACATTAAAACACAGACACTTCCTGGAGTTCATTAGGGTCTTTGTTGCTGCTATTGATTTTATGTGGAAGATTATAGTGAGGGATGGCCGAACAATGCCGGAAGATGGGATTGGCCACTGCAGCTTACTTTTATACTGACTTGGGGTCTTAGGCAGGTATTTCCACGTTCGGTAGCGAGCAGCTCAGAATATTGCTTAATCTCCCTCTTCTCCTCCACAGTATTCTCCCAGCATGCGAGCCACGTATCTTTCTGTCAACGATGAGCATATAAGACATTACGGCAATGAATTTCCAGCCTAATGCGTGCTCTCCCTGAGCAACTTACAAGCAATGAAAACACAAACAGCGTTTCTGCCACAGAAACCAAAGGCAACTGGAAAGCGCATGAAACAATAAGGCCTCTTGCTGAAGAAGAGAAGGGATGGGAGCTGACAGGAGAGATCTGGAGATGGTTCTGGCTGAAGGACAAATTGCAGGTCAAAAGCGGATGGTTGCTGGAAGCCCGGACCATGTGCTCTGCAGATCCCTCCTGTATTATCTGGCAGCTTTTATTCATAGTCTTCCTCTCTGACGGGCACACGGGATGATGCTCACAGCCACCATCCTCTGAATTAACTCCCCTTATGCCCTTTGCTTGAAACATGGTTTCCCTCTCAGCACACCCCCAGCATGGGGCAGGGATTCCAGCTGGCTTGTGATACAACAGGCTAGGTTCTGCCACCTCTCTGCCTCCCCAGGCTGAATGCCACTCGCTGCCATTTCTAGCATGACAGCCAATGCCAATTTGAAGACTGAAACAGCTTTGTGCGCATGGGGTGGGTTCCTCTTTGCTTCCTGTCTGCACCAAATTGGGGTTATTTCACGTCACTGGAGAGTCTTGGTGGCCTTCCTTTTCTAACTAGTTAGCTATGAATAGCAAGACCAGTACACTGTCCATCCACAGAACACGGGGACATCCACCGTTCGGTGTGGTCACCACCACCTTGCGAAGTGGAGAGATGCTCCTCACTCCTGCATCAAAGCAATAAGAGCCACTAGTGATGCCAGCACCCTTTGGAGGGTGCCAGCGGGTGGGCTTTGCCCCCTGCCATCCTGTGATGGCAATCTCCCCACACTCTCTATAGCACCTGTTTGGAATGTACAGCACCAGACCTACACGCTTCCCCTCACCTCTCATGCAGTCCCTTTACTTCTGGAATAAGCCAGGGCGGTCTTGGGTATTAAGAGACGTCAGAATACGTAGAATAATATTTACCCTTATATTATTTTTTGCCTTTATCTTTTTTCCACCAGTGGTTTTATCGACTATCCAAAGAACACACCCACACAGAGCACACTTTTTTGCCTTTTTTTAGAAGGTGGTTTTTTATCTTTTTTCCACCAGTGGTTTTATCGACTATCCAAAGAACACACCCACACAGAGCACATTTTTTTGCCTTTTTTTAGAAGGTGGGTTTTTTTTTTTCATGGTTTTTATATAAAAATCTTTGGTGGGGCGGGAGGGGGGTTCTTGCAGCTTTTTTGGCACTGATTTTTTTTTTTTTTTGTTCCTAGGGGCTAGCTTTAAAAATTACTTTTTAGAAAACATTTTAACCCAAACCCTGTGATAATTTTAAGAATTGTGTGCGATTGCATCTCGTTCAGGCCCTTAACTGCTGCTGTGGAGGATGACAGCCACTTCTGTCCCACGGAAGATTGGATTTGAGCATCGTGTGGGGGGAAGGGGCAGTTCTGTCTCAACAGCAGTTGAAATGGTGTTAGCAGCAAGGGGTAGATGGTGGTGCTTAATTCTGAGCAGTTTGGACTGGCTTTTTCCTGAGGCATTCCTAGCTAAACAGCGCTATAGAGTAAACCCAACAGTTCTCAGGAAAACTCCCCCGTTCACACTGATCAGGGAAACCCGGTTAGCTACAATAGTCCAGTAATACAGCTATTGCCAATGCTATTTTCTCTTACAGTGTAGACAAGACCTCAGATACCTCCTCTCCCATCCCTTGTCAAAGAAAGTACAGGTTCACCCTTTGCCTTCCTCCTCTCTTCTCCTTTGGGACAGGAGAGAACATCTAGTCCGCACTGGTGGGTGTGAACTGACTTCTGGCTTCAGGGGATTCAGAGGATCAAAAGACCCAGATGGGGAAAGATTCCTACCCACGTGATTCTTCCAGGTGCATCCTCCTACCCTGGTTAAATACAGCTCTAGCATGTGCGTTTTAGCTCCATTTAAATTCAGTGAGGTTGCATCTGCTTGCACCCAAAACTGAGTCAGAGCCATTGGGCCTCCTAAACTGTAGCACTGCATCCCCTCCAAAACTGCTCTGACGGGGAGAAAAGCCAGCCTGCCGCCACCACCTCAGAACAAAGCGATTGGTCCAGGCTTCCTTCTCCCCAAGCACAAGAAACCAGAGGAACTCTCAGCCCTGGATCTTGCCAGGTTGGTTGGATGGCGTTGGCCCAGCCTGCCCTGCTGGCGCTGAGCTATCCTTCCACAAACTCATTTTGGCTCCTCTTAGCCTAACACTGTGGTTTGCGCTGCTAAAACTGGGCCGGCTCCTCCTTCTGGACTGTGCGGAGCTACCCTCCCTGGCGTGCAGACACCTCGTGGAGGTTTTATTACTCATGTCTTTTAAAGATAACTGTACATATCATGCTCCATAACGTTGTTTGTAGGTCCATGTTGCGCGTGGCTAGCCTTAGGGTCTGGTTGAAAGTCCTCATTTCTGCTTTTAATGTTTCAGTGTAACAGTACTGGTAGAAGAGCTGTTTTTAAACGCATGGGAACTAACCTCTTTCTGGCCTCCTTGGAGGAACTGGAAATCCTGCTTGATTTGTATGTACCCTCTGGGAAGGAGACAATAAAAACTTGACTAAACATTTAACTGTTGTTGATCCTTATTAGAGCAAGATGGTATCTGCCAACATTTTCCTTGACTTACATAGGTAAGGCTTCAGTCCATCCTAGCTTGCTGTCCTCCAAAGCCAGGTGCACACTTTGCAGCCAACACTGAGCGCAGGAATAGTTTGCTGAAATGAGAATTGTAGCTCTTTAGATTGAGCACAGGTCACATGATACTGCTTCTATTCCCTGACTGAATTGAGAGTCATTTATAATCAGGTTTCTGCTACCAGTGCTCACAATTGTGTGGATTATTTAAATGCTGAGATGCTCCAGTCCTGGAGGGCTATTAAAACCTACACTGATCTGTGGATTTGAACCTGGCTTTCTGCCAATGGACTAGAATATTCACTTGAACATTCGCCTTTTCTGAAAATATTCACACCAGCAAACAGATTTGCTAGAGTATTCTGGGAAATGAATACTAGGAGCGCAAGTGCAACAAACAAACATTTTTAAAAATCTTTGGAATGCATTGTTGGGGTTATTTTTTGTCAATACTTGCCTAGCTCTAATTGCTTAATTTCAGAGCTCGAAAAAGTTCTTCCAGATATAAGGATGCTAGGACTCAGCTATTTGATACAGAGAGCAGTGCCACCTTATGGTATAAATTGTTTGTGCAATACCGAAGAACCTCAAAATTACAAACACCTCAGTGTAGTGGAGGTTGCTCTTAACTCTGAAATATTCATAACAAAACATTACGGTTTTTCAAAGATTCACAGATGAACATTGGCTTACTGCAGCTTTGAAACTACTCAGCTGAAGAAAAATGCTGCTTTCCCTTTTTTAGGAGTTGACATTTAACGCCATACTGTGGTATATTTGCTTTTTTCCCTTCCCTTTTTTAGGAGTTGACATTTAACGCCATACTGTAGTATATTTGCTTTTTTGCCCTCTGCTGCTGCCTGATTGCATACTTCTGGTTCTAAATGAGGTGCGTGGTTGACTGGTCAGTTCGTAACCGAGGTTCCGTTGTAAATGGATAACGCTCGATGGATTTAATTGACATTAAATTTAAAACAACCCGGTTGCCCTCTGACAACTCCATCTGCGGTTAGCGTCCTTAGCTCATGCTTGGAACCTGCTTGTGTGTTGCAAACGTGTCATTTTTAAATGGCACTAGACAAATGCTGGTATCTAGGATATTAATGCTTAGCTCATGCTTGGAACCTGCTTGTGCATTGCAAACGTGTCCTTTTTAAATGGCACTAGACAAATACTGGTATCTAGGATATTAATCTAGGCTTTTAATAGCCTGATATGGTGCCACGTCTGTCATGATTGCTACTAAAGCTGGTTTTTATGGCCAGGATATCAAACTTTATTTTGATTGCTACTAACAAAGATGGCCATAAAAGCTCCAGAATGTGGAATGCAGGTAGGTGCAGTGTTTCAACTGTGGGTCTCTGGTCCATTTTATTCCTGGCCTATCTGCTGAATGTGTCAGCAAGCCTGTCTATCACCAGGGGGGCTACAGCTTCTGCAGGTCCCCATGCCTGTGGAAGGGGCAGACATCGGGCAGAAGGGGTGGGGCCAGTGCAGCTGCCCTCACTGCTGCCCAGCCCATCGTGCTGGACGCCATCCCAGCCTTCAGCTGTGTGGTGTGGCACTCCAGCAGTGATTCTCCCAGACCCCTTTGAATCACCAGGCCCTGGGGCAACTGCCCCCTCACACCCTGTAGGCAGGCCTGAATATCACAATGGCTGGTTTCAGGTCATGTTAAAAAAACATGTCTATGCCTATGCTAGTCAATCTGCTTCATTATCTTCTCTGACAGCGATCAACACCAGGTGGTTCAGAGGAATGTGCAAGAAATCCCACAAGATGTAGTTGAGAAAATCTCGTTAACCAAGAGTGGCCAAAGTCCTGAAGCATAAAAATTCTTACTCCATCACAACCTTTTTTTGTATTAGAACTCTGGATAGTCCTGTCATCCATATAAATGCCCGGTTCTTCCCTGAATTTTGCTAAATTGTTAGCTTTGACACCCTATGTCAGTGAACTCTAACTTTGCATTATTTATTTCCTTGCTCCGTAAGGTGCAGCTTGGTAACTGGATGTTAATATCGGAACATCGCTGATCTGGGAGAGTTCTGTAAAGGTACTCACCTGTGGAAAGGCTCTGTAGCCTGTTTTCTCAGTTCAGTACAATTTTGAATAACAGGATTTAATTTTTTTATTACATAAAACTAGGGGGCTGCGCCTTGTACTTGCTACGCTCGCCAACCCTCCTCTCTCTGGCTACTTTTGCGGCCAGAGAGCCTGATGATGTCATTGTCACGTGGCAGGAAAAACTTTTGAGAGAAAGAGATTGATTCAGAGGTGGGGGAATTTCTGTCCCCCACAAATCCCCAAAAAAGGGAGCAATGGCAAATTCTGGAACTAGGGGAAGGATGTTTTGTCTGACTTCTTGTGAGTAATACACATTCTTCCTCTAGCTGTTACTAGTCATTTTAGCCACAGCCAGGGTGCCAGGTGAATTAACTGTCCTGTCTTACTAAGGGTAGCAGTAGAGTTCAACATTCTCCATCTTTCTCCTCTAGTATCCCAGGATTCTTTTGGTGACTCATGCTTTTCTTGAATGGTTTCCAATACCATCTAGTTTTCATACTGAGCGCTCCTTATTTTGTATTCCACTCCATCTCTTTTTGCTCCTTGCAATAGTGTCTGGAAATAAGCCGCTGGTAGATAATGGCTGTTTTGATAGTGAATGGGACTGCTTATAACTGTTGGCAGCAGCCCACGGCTGTTGGGTCACAGTGCTGTAATAACACTGTTAATATAAAAAAGTAGTTGCTTTTCCATCTGATTTTTTTTTTTTTTTTTTGTAAAGCTCCTGAATTTGCAAGGAACAGCTGGTTCTGATGAGATCTATTCCTCTGTGGTAGGCTTGGGCTGAAGCTGTTCTCTTCAATCAATGCTTCCTCACAGTCTTGGGTATGTTATTCCCTACGAAGTCAGTTAGTTAAATTTTGGCTGGCGTTTAATGAATGAAAATAACGGGCTGTGGGGCAGGCCTTGTTCTTTCATCTCCTAGGTTTCCCACATGGGGGTCGTGACAGGGTCCACGGGCGTGAGAGCGTCCTTCCCGCCGTCGGGTCGTGACAGGGTCCACGGGCGTGAGAGCGTCCTTTCCGCCGTCGGGTCGTGACAGGGTCCACGGGCGTGAGAGCGTCCTTCCCGCCGTCGGGTCGTGACAGGGTCCACGGGCGAGAGAGCGTCCTTCCCGCCGTCGGGTCGTGACAGGGTCCACGGGCGTGAGAGCGTCCTTCCCGCCGTCGGGTTGTGGCAGGGGCGCCGGGCCTGGGGGGGGGCTTCCC